ATTTGACAATGCGTCAGAATTTCTCAAATGAATCGCCTAAAATTTTTTGAAAACTTATTAATTTTCAATAATGTTAAATAGTTTTTTTTCACTTTTATACTAATTGTAAATAAGTTTCTGAAAATATTGAAACAAAAAAATTTGTTTCTTTAAATTTATAAATTGTTTAATATTCTGCATACAATTCTAAGTATAAAACTGTTGTAAAAAAAATAACATTCAATTAGAGAAAAAAGTTGACTGGTAATAGAGCGTTAATCGTCCGAGCGTCGGTCGAGTTATTTGTTCGGGACATTCAATTATTATTCATTATATAAAAAGAGACAGTGGATTTAAATGCTAATTGCGCATTATTATTAATAAAGAATATTAATTATTAAGTATTGAATTATTACATAATTAAATAATAATTTACTAATTAACTTTTTTCCAATTGAGCACGGAGAGAAATAGATGGTACGGGGTACTATCTAGATAGTACCAGGTACCATATTTGATCTTACATATACGGACAGCAATCTAGATTCTATCAGTAATAATCCATAACTATTTTATGAGTTGGTTTAACTAATTAGTTTGTTTAGAATAACTATTTAATTAGTTACCTTACTAACCAAATGGTTAAGCTGACTAACTAATTGGTATCAGTAACTAATATAAATTCTCAATTCAACACCCAGAGAAATGAGAAATAAACGTATATTTGTCTCAGAGCTTACTATAGCCAATTTATTTAAAGTAAATAAATTTTTTTTTATTTAAATCAGATAAATATTTATTTGCCTCTGAGACAAATATTTCTTTTCTCTGGGTGTAATAATGCCTCATATTTAACCTTGAAAATTAAATTTTTAAATTTACACAGTAAACTTGGTTGTATCTTTTTCTAATGCAACGTTTTGATGCACATAAGTTATATCAAAAAGAGATCGTTTTGTGTATAATTTTTAGAAATGATACACGAAACGGTCTCATTTTTTGATGCAAAAAATTTAATCAATTTATATCAATCATGGCCGAATTGAATCGACTCAAAATTAAACGAATTTTTTTCAGATATTTTGGTAATAGTACAATTGAGTAGCTGCCTGCAATAACTCGCCGAGCGCTTGGCCGATCGCTCTAACGCCAGTCAAACGTTCAAAAACGTGAAAAAAATGAAAAATCAAAATTTTGATTTTTGAAAAGTGCAATCTTGTAGGACATAAGATGGCGCATCTTTTTTTCCTTTGAGTTTTTTTTGTAGATCAAAAAATAGAGTTAATATATGCAAAACACTTAAAAATTCTATTTCACAAATTTCATTCAATTTTTAAACATAAATCACAGTATCTTTGACAAATTTCAATGAATCTTATTGAAAATTAATATACATACGTATTTAGGTCCATAGAAGACGACAACATAATCAAAAATATTAAAATCATCAATTGTTTATTTATAATTAATTGTAAATGAAGACTTGTCAATAATAATGTTTACTTACCTTTGTCGACATAAAGTGTGTGGGGAACTTCAGAGTTGAAGAAACTTCCAGTGAGACATTTGTTTATCATAATGTAAGGAAGTTTTTTGTAAAATATAAAAACAATTTATCAACAACTTTAGAAAATATAGAACGTTTAAGGAAACATGCGCGACGCGCTAGCGAGTCTCCGCGCGGAGAATTGCAAACAAGAGTTGTAGAGGACCGAAAATACAGAAACAAATATTGTCACTACATTCTTAGAAATGTTTTTCAAATAAAATATGTGTTAATTTTATGAAAATGCAAATTAAATTTGAACAACTGTTTTTTTAATATTTACTAAATAATCAATAGTTTTAAAATATTTTGGTGCTTGTATGTACTGTTTGTGCAGTTTCCAAATAAGTTTTTTAATAATTAATATTAAGGTATATCTTTATTTTCTGTTTCTTCATTTTTTTAAGAAATTAGTGTATTGTTACATATCAACAGTGATAGTATGTTGGCTCCATTTTCAAAACATAATATATCACAACATAACATAACGTCCTTCTTAACTCTTGTGTGCAATTCTTCGCGCGGAGACTCGCTAGCGCGTCGCGCATGTTTTCTTAAACGTTCTATATTTTCTAAAGTTGTTGATAAATTGTTTTTCAATTTTACAAAAAACTTCCTTACATTATGATAAACAAATGTCTCACTGGAAGTTTCTTCAACTCTGAAGTTCCCCACACACTTTATGTCGACAAAGGTAAGTAAACATTATTATTGACAAGTCTTCATTTACAATTAATTATAAATAAACAATTGATGATTTTAATATTTTTGATTATGTTGTCGTCTTCTATGGACCTAAATACGTATGTATATTAATTTTCAATAAGATTCATTGAAATTTGTCAAAGATACTGTGATTTATGTTTAAAAATTGAATGAAATTTGTGAAATAAAATTTTTAAGTGTTTTGCATATATTAACTCTATTTTTTGATCTACAAAAAAAACTCAAAGGAAAAAAAGATGCGCCATCTTATGTCCTACAAGATTGCACTTTTCAAAAATCAAAATTTTGATTTTTCATTTTTTTCACGTTTTTGAACGTTTGACTGGCGTTAGAGCGATCGGCCAAGCGCTCGGCGAGTTATTGCAGGCAGCTACTCAATTGCGGAGACCATTGCACTATTTAATTTGAATATGAAAATAACAGAAAATCAAAGACAATGTGCAATTCGATAATTAAAAAGTGACAGCTTATAAACATAACCTAAAATGCATGAGAAAAAATTTGTCGATAAAATCAATATAGCCGAGCTTTTTAGAAGGTAGATGGCAGTTTTGCTTTTTATAAAAACGATTCAGAAAAAATTTAAAGAAAGAAAATAGATGAGTGCTGCCATCTACCTTCTAAAAAGCCCGGCTATATTGATTTTATCGACAAATTTTTTCTCATGCATTTTAGGTTATGTTTATAAGCTGTCACTTTTTAATTATCGAATTGCACATTGTCTTTGATTTTCTGTTATTTTCATTTTCAAATTAAATAGTGAAATGGTCTCCGCAATTGTACTATTACCAAAATATCTGAAAAAAATTCGTTTAATTTTGAGTCGATTCAATTCGGCTATGATTGATATAAATTGATTAAATTTTTTGCATCAAAAAATGAGACCGTTTCGTGTATCATATCTAAAAATGATACACAAAACGATCTCTTTTTGATATATAACTTATGTGCATCAAAACGTTGCAAAGATTTGATGCAATTTTTGGTCTCAATTCGATACTTTTAGGAAAACTGTGTTTAGATGAACCGTTTAAGAAATTCTGACCCTAATATAAATTTTTTTTTTCTTTAGTTAATTTGAATTTTTTCATCTTTTTTTTTATTTGCACAACTTTCTTTTGCCAATAAATGAACATCATTGCAGATATTTAGCGAAGCGACTCGTTTGAAAACGCCATGCTTCTGTGTTCCCTGCAGCTACTCCGGGGTGGATGGAAATGTCGATAAAACGTGTTGGCCAATGAGAGGGCGAGAAGTGACGTCAGGCGCCTGTTACTGGCCAATAGTGGTGCACCAGTGACGTAATCGCGGAGGTGGACACCCTCGTCGATCCTCTTTGCCGACAAAAGCCGCAGGCTTCTCTCTCTCTATATATATATCTCTCTTTATGGCTATAGAGGGGTCGCGTGAGGGTGGGTTTATGGTGGTGGCATTTTGGGCAACCCCATTATGGGTTTACTAATCCCGCGAAACAATGGAAATTGACCGATACAAAATGGCGATATTCACGTTTCCGTTATCGATACCTTTCATTAAAAATTTTCATTTCTATCCCTTTTTTTCCACTTTTCTTGAAAATTATTTTATTATAAATTCCAAATAGATATTCCTTTTTAAGAATTTTTTCTTACTTTCAGAATACTTCCCTACACGGAGAAAAATAGAAAATTGAACTGCTTATTTAAAAGTAAAACCTGAACTGTCCATAGTTTCTGCGCATTTATGGCAATTTTTACTCCAGGAATAGTAAAATTTACTATTTTTGGAATAATTTTTACTATTTTAGGAGTAAATTTTACTATTTTCAGAGTAAATTTAACTATTTCTAAAGTAAAAATTGCCAGAAATGCGCAGAAACTGCTGTCAGTTCAGGTTTTACTTTTAAAGTATTTTTCCATTTTTCTCCGTGTATCAAAAATTGACTACTGGCGCAGTACTGGCGCGATATTGGTACCACTAGTCAACTCTGACAATTTTTTGTTGGGTTTATATTGTAACTAAAGTCATATTATTATACAGTTTGTTTAGATTGGACCACAACATAATTTTGCGGTCATTATTTAAAATAGATAAACTCTGTTAATTTTTGGTAGAGATGGATGAATAAATTTCAAATGAAAAAAGTGGGACAAATTTGACAATCTTAATACGTTTAGGTATAATAAAAAAATTTTTGTCAAAGCCTTGATCATGGAAAAATTAATTTTTTTTAAATATATATTTATATTTATTTTTATATACCTGGAAATACTAAGAATAATTTGCAAAAAGTTTTAGAATAGGCCTGATGATCCTTTTTGTTTAAATAATTTGTTTAAAAAATTTTTTTTTCATTTTTCTTTTTATTTTTCAAAATAAAAAGTTTTTTCTCCACCAGATTCTTTTACTTTATCCATAAAAAGCAAACTAAAATGCATTTTATTCTAAAAAATAAAGAAAAAAGAAAAAAAAATTGTTTTAAACAAATTATTTAAACAAAAATAATTATCAGGTCTACTTTAAAACTTTTTGCAAAATATTCTTAGTATTTCCAGGTATGTATAAAAATAAAAAAAAGTATATAATATAAAATAAGTATTTGAATAAGTATTTGTAATTTGTATTTGTAATTTATTAATAAGTTTTAATAAATTTGTTTAGAATTAAATTTTTAGAGTCCATAACTTTTATTTATTTTTTTTTTTTATCATTTTATTCGATTGTCTACATTTTATTGATGTCTTAAATTGTAACACTTTTCTTTTTGCAGGTATGGTTTCAAAATAGGAGAGCGAAGTACAGAAAACAGGAAAAACAACTGCAAAAAGCTCTTGCACCAATTCCTGCCTGTCAGGGAGCTATGATGAGGAACATTTACCCCGGTGCTGGCAGAGGTTATCAACCCTATCCCCACCCACACAACAGTATAAACGGAATAAATCGTTACCCCCAGGTCAGCTTAAAAGTCTAATTAAATAATTATATTTTATCCTTAATTTTAGATTTTTAATTCTTTTATATGTGCCATTTTATGAGTTTTGTTTTTATCACTCTCTAAATCGGAATTAGTAGTTTTCTACTAATGAAAGAGTGCAGATTCGTTTACCAATTGAATTAGTAACAGTTTTGACTTTTTTTTAGTAGAAAACTACTAATTCATAGAGTAAATCGTATTTTTTACTATTTTAAATTAGTAAGCAGATTTACTTCATGAATTAGTAGTTTTCTACTAAAAAAGAGTCAAAACTGTTACTAATTCAATTGGTAAACGAATCCGCACTCTTTCATTAGTAGAAAACTACTAATTCAGATATTAGAGAGCACTTTTCGGAGTAATCTCACCAAATTAAATGAAACATTTTTTTTATAATTTATTTATTAATATAAAGGTCTAGAATAATCAGTTTATAAACAATTGTTTATTTAAGAATAAATAATTTAAAAAAACACTTTTTTTTGTCTCACCAAATGAAATTCTTTCTTCGTTTGGAAAATATTTAAAAATAAATCAAACGTTTATTTAGTTTTAGTTTCATGTAAGATTAAATTAAAAGTTACAGATATATTAATGTCAGGCAAATTGTTTAATTTTCATTTCAGTAGCAGAATATAGTTTTAGTTTGAAAGAATAATTTTCATTTTTATATATACAACTTGAAAATATATCAAATTGATATAGGTACTAGTGCAGAAATTTTGCCAAGGCCCAGATCGGGGCCAGATCAGGCTGCCCTATTAGGGAATGAAACGCCGCGCCTGATGTAGCCCTGATTAGGAAATCCACATTTTCTGGTCGCCCTGATTTGGCCCTGATCAGATGTGGTGTTTCATTCCCTACTAGGGTCCTGGTAAGGCAATTTCTACACGGAAAGAGTATTAAATTGATCAAAATTTTTGTATTAATTTAACACTTTTAAATTAAATTGAAATGAATTAAATATAAACTATCGTTTTGCGTCGGTAAAAAAAACAATAGTTTTTTACACTGTACACTGTAAAAAAGGGAGTTAAATTCTAACTCCCAACGAGATTCTATAAAAGTCGCACTCTTTTGGAGTTGACGCTAATAGAGTTAATTTTATGAGGGAGTTAATGATAAAGGAACTAATCTAATGTTAACTCATTTTTGGAGTTGATTTTTAATTTGAAAAATTTTACTCCTAACTCTGATAGCCGTTTAACTCACGAAATATTTTTTACAGTGCAGTGAAATCTTCTCAGTAGTGAAGGACATATTTAGTCAGACGTGCGGCTCAATTAATTCTGGTTTCAACAGTAAAATGATATAGTTTTAGTCAGGCATAATTAATTATTACAGAATTCCTATACATTGTAAAAAATGTAAAAATTAACTATATAAAACTCCCACCATTTTGGAGTTAAAGCAAAGGAATTTAATTTCATGCCCACGGAGTTAATGCTAAGAAAGTTAATCTAATGTTAACTCACTGTTGGAGTTGATTTTTACCTTGAAAATTTTTACTCATCTCCGGTTACCATTAACTTCCGAAATGTTTTACGTATTAAATTAATTATTACAGAAATTTAATGAATGTTAATTACTAGAAACATAAGCTTAAAAACATAACATTTATTTGTTAAATATTAAATTTACATTCAATTCATGCAATTCTATTAGGTAGTATATATAATAATATATAGATAATAATAATAATAATATATAGTTCTGCAAACCGGATAGAGAAATCCCGGTACATATATAGATCGAGCAAATGAATTCGATGCGTTTCTCGTTAATGATTTAAACCAAGGTATCAAATTGAAGTACAGCTGTACGTATGTAGGTATCTACATATGAGTCTGCCTAGCCGTTCGCCGACTCGGGTAAATTGCATTTGGACTAATTAGTTGGGTCGGATAGATAACCGAATGCCTATCGTATCAATTGAACCAATAATTTCTACCTAATGTCAAAACCACTATAGCAAAAATTTCACATCTGCTATATAGCCATTTTATTAGATTTCTAACGAAACTTTCCTAATTTTACAATATGCATAAATTTTTCCTCCATGATTATTATTGACAGAAAAAAAAATTCAATAGTATTTTAATTTCATATTATTAAAACAAATGCAGAGTACCTTTATTACAAAAATAAATATCAATCATTTTTTTAAATCAAAGAAACATTCCTTTGCCTGTTTATTATATAATAATAAAACATTATTCTTTTATAATATAAAAAGAGGATAAATAAAATAACATCAAAGAAGCATCTAGAAATAATTAGCTAGTAAATTTAAAAATTATAGTTTTGAATCTCATCTTTCTAACAGGTATATTCACATTTTACAAAAATAAATACTCAGAAAAAACAAAAATTCAAAACTTTTTTTTTAATTCCGGAAAAATAAGATTCCAAGTTTTAAAAAGTTATAACTGGTTCTTAATTTAAGATTTTTTTTTTTGCTGTGATTCATTTGTTTTTAAGTAATCTATATCTGCCTGACAATAAAAAAAAATTTTGCAAAATTAAATTTTCTCATATTTGTTTCAGATGGGAACGACATCATATCCAAGCATGACTCAACCCTTCTCGATGTCGCATTCCGCATCGAATATGTCCGCAGTTACTGGCATGCGGCAAGATGCAATGGGTGAGAATTTTTGCAAAATATTTTTATTTCAATATATTGTAATTAGTAAAATTTAACTTAAAAAAATGTTATTAAAATTTGATAACAAGAAATAACAGGGACAAGAAATAAGTTATATAAAACTTAATTATTGAAATTTTCATTAAATATACTTTTATCAGATAAAGATAAATTAAGCCGAATTTTATTTTTTCGAATTTTCATAAAATCGATTTTTCATACTACAGAATTTATACTTAACCGAAAAATCGTTTAATAGAATTTCTAATTGATAAAATTATCATTTGTCCGACATTGCAAATGCCCGAATAAATACTCGACAGAAAGATTTCGGTGCGATTTTTAAAACCAACCAATCAAAAATTATTCATAAAATTGTGATTGGTTACTTTTAAAAATTGCGCCGAAAGATTTCTGTCGATTTTTTGTTCGGATAAATGAAAACTCTATCAATTAAAAATTCTGTTAAATGGTTTTTCGGTTAATTCTGCAGTATAAAAAATCGATTATATAAAAATTCTATCAAATAATTCGAAAAGATGAAAATTCATCTAAAAAAAATTCTATGCAATAAAATTCTACCTAATAAAAATTCATTTAAATGGCTATTATAGAAAATGCAAATTCGAGCAAATAAAAATTCTGTGAAGTGAATTTTCGGTTTTATAAAAATTCTTTAATATAAAAAATCGTTTAAATGATAATATTCTGCAAAATAATAATTCGAACAAATAAAATTTGACCCAATGAAAATTAGATGTGTAACGATAGAATATCATAGTATAGTCGCCCGGCGAAAAGAGAGAAAGTAGACAGCGTAAATAGTAGTGTCACTCTCTTCCCCCACCACTCGCTGTCACCTAGCTGCTAGTGATATACCTTTCGTCTCGCACCTTTTTCGTCAGTCTTCTTCCAATTCGTCTAGAAGTACTTCTCTGACAGTTGGAAGCGACTCACTTCTGGCTACCTTGTGCTCAGTAGAGGTGCGTCTCTCTGAACACCAGAGCTCTCCTCACTTCCTAGAAGGAGCTTTACTTGTTCCTGTAGACGCTCCTGCGTCCTCGAGGCGCTTCTCGGGTGGAGACACCTAGTGAATATTACTTTGCACTAGCTTCGCGTCGGGCATGAATATTGGAACCGAATCCAATATCTAGCTTCTTCCCGATTACGAATAATAATCGACCTAGCGTGCACGACCCTAGTATCCGTCCGTACCGTCGTCTAGGGTGTAAATTCTAGAAAGTACCCCACGTGAAAGTAATACGCGTCGTCCTGACCAACATTATCGCGAATTCTGAATTAAGGGGGGAACACCAGTTGTAACTCAAGAAATAATGCTTTTTACAAGAATATTTTCCAAAAGAACAATGAATCTTTTTAAAGAATACTATTTATTATTTAAAAGTACATGTTAAAAGCTGTGATTTGAAAGAAAAAAAAAATTTTTTTAACAAAAACTTTTAGAGATATGAGCCATTGAAGTGGCGCCTTAAGAAAAAAGGCGAATTGCGGTGACCAGCATTCTGCAAGTATACTTCGTCTGAAATACAAAAATGAAATTGATTTACATTTATTATAAGATTATCTAGTTCGTGATCGAAGGATTCAAAAAAAAAAATTTGACAAAATGGCGACCTGTCAAAGTCAAAAGTATGATTTTCGTTAAAAAAATACGGTCGATTTTCAGCTATATAAAAAAAAGTTTTGCATAAAAAAAAATCCTTCGATCACGAACTAGACTTATATGTGTAAATGAAGCACACTAAATTTTAAATAAATCGGTTTAATGGTATTCGAGTAATCGTGGTCACCGACTTGGAAAATGTCATTTTGAGAAAAACGCATTCAAAGTTTCAACTTACTTTTTTTTGTTCAGAAGAAATTTTGTTTCCAATTTACAAAGAGTCATCGATTCCTGGACCATATAATAACTCTTCCGCAGTGGTTGCCGTTTCTAAATCATAGGAAAAGGCCATCTGTCGTTAGGGTCAGGTATGGCTGGCCACCTTGTCTGAAGCCACGGGACGCGCCGCTGCAGTGTTCTGTATATCTCATTTATTTTTTACCGGATCAAGTTTAAAATTTACAGACACATTTCTAAATATGTATACTTTAAGAAAATGCAAAAAAAAATCGATTTTTCGAAAGTTACAACTGGTGTTCCCCCCTTAATGACGAGCGCGATCGGAGCCTCAGCGAACGCTCCACTGGAATAGCTAGTTCTTTTTATCGTTATGTTTCCTAGAGTTTACTATTTTATTTGCATTGTATAGATTCTTTTCTTCATATCATTTTTGTAATACTTCATTTTTGTATATTTTATTGTTCTTTTATTTAAGCAATATATTCTCTTTCGAAAGATTAAATAAAGACTCGTCAATGACTACACCTCTCCTCTACATCATAGTAAGAAATAGTTCCGAAATTAATAGAAACGTAGATGGCGCTTCACGCCAACTAGCGAGATTTAAAGTAACTAGTCAAAATAGGTACCCGGACTCCATTAGTCGAGAAAATCCTTTTGGCAATAAAAACCCAGATCATTATAGATGTAATGAAATTCTATTAAAAGAAAATTCTAACAATTGATTTTTAGAACTTATTTAAGCGTCCCTGAATAATCTATATAAATTTCTTATAATATATTTTGATAGAATAAAGTTTTACATTGACGTTAAAAAAAATAATGTGAAAATATGATTTTATTAATAAATGAGATCAAAATAAAATTGATGTAAAAATTAAATTTCGTGATCCGTCTGATGGAAAATGAAATGATTAATCGACGGTAAATCGTTGATGAAAGCAGATATCCCGACGTTGTCGATCGTAAAGAGCTCTAGAGAAGTCGATAGGCAATTCGCGAATAGTCTTGATTCGATTTAGAAGCGATATTCCCATCTTGTGCCGGAAATGATGTAAGACGGCGCTTCAGCGGAAATGGAGCGTCTTGAAGCAAGCGATTTTCGTATACACCCAGAAACCTTCACAGATTTGCTCTGTTTCCGTTTCTTTTTTTCTGTTTTTTTTAAAATAAACACACGATTATTTGATATAATATATCGAAATAGACTTTCGAAGTAATGTCATATAAATAAACTTTAATTAATAAAATAAAGAAATTTAAAGTATCATCATCTTGCTTGTAAAATAATAATTACTATAATATTTATATATTTTTACAATACACAATTTTAATTATTATTACATTATTAGTAAAAAAATGAAACAAAAATAAACGTTATCCTACTTTCTAAATCTGAATTAGTGAGAATTCGTTAACTAATTCAAATTAGTAGAAATTTTTACTAATTTGTAGTAAAATATTACAATTTGATTTAGTAATATTTTTTTAACTAAATTTTTAGTGAAAAATAACTAAAAATTATTATAAATTTTCGCTAATAATTCAAATGTAGAGAGTACAGTGAATAAAATTTATTTGATTCAAATAATCGGTTATTTGACTATTACCAAATAAATGTTTACTTGAACCAAATAATTTTTGTTTAAATTAAATAAATTGTATTTGAATCTATAATTTCTGTATTTGTAACAAATGTCATAATTGACTGAAATAAAAATTATTTAATAGAAATAAACATTTATTTCATAAAAATCAAAGTAACTGATTACCTATTTGAATCAAATAAACTTTAACTATTAATGAGACTAGTGAAGCAAGGCATATACCCCCCCCCCCTAGGGGCCACACGAATTTATCTAGAGGGCTGAAATTTACCTATGTATTTTGGCGTGTAGATTACAGGAAAAATATAGCAAATCTCATATAGGAATTGATTATCATAGTGTTGTCAAGGAAAAACCATGAATTTTTACGAAAAATCCCTGAAAATGACTATGACCCCCCCCCCCCTGGTTGCCACATCTTTTTACATAGAGAGCTCAAATTTGGTACACTTATGTATTTTTACGTGAAAATTACAGGAAAAATATAGCGAACATGATTCGGATCAATTTACATAGCGTTGTCAAGGAAAAATCAAAAATTTAAAAAAAAGCGTTTAATCCACCTAGCGCACACACTATTTGACCAAGACAGTTCATATTTGGTATACTTACGTATTTTTGCGTGTAGATTACAGGAAAAAATATAGCGAGCACGATTGGAGTTGATAATCATATTGTTTTTAGGGAAAACTCATATTTAAAAAAAAAAAATAATGAATTTTTCGAATAAAAAAAGAAAAAAATTTTATCCTAAGGGATCCAAATTTATACTTTTTTACGTGTAGATTACAGAAAAAATATAGCGAGAACAATTCGAGTTGATTATCATAGCGTTTTCAAGGAAAAACTGATAATTTTCGATAAAAATTATGATTTTTCCCCAAAAAATGAAGAAAATTTTATCTAAAAAGTTTCAAATTTATACACTTTTACGTATTTTTGCATGCAGATTACAGTAAAAATTTAATAAACATGATAGGCAATTATTTTAATTGAGTTTTTTCAAAACATACAATTTTTTTAAAAAGTGTACTTTTTCCTTAAGTTTTACAATTTTTGACCCAGAAAGATAAAATTTTCTTCTTTTTTTTGTGGCAAATTCTTGATTTTTTTTCAACTCCAATTGTGCTTGCCCAATTTTTTGTAGTGTTTTGCCATTCTTTATAATTTGCCATTTTCTATTTTTTACCATTTGCTATTTTTTTATCTTTTGACATTTTTTATTTGTTAATATTTTTATTATTTTTTAGTTTTATTAATTTATTTTCAAATCTATGTGTTCACATTATTTTCAAATTTATGCCTAGATTATGTTCTATGTTTATGTCTATGTTTTCTATCTAGGCCTTCAAACTTTAAACCCCTCAAATTTTAAGTTTAAGTGTACGGAACCCTCAGTTTTAATGCGAGTTTAACTCGCACTTGTCCGTTTTTTTTTATTTTATATAAAAAGAATATTTGTTAATAATATATTAATAAAAATTTTGTTTTTAGGAATGTCTGCCGAGGACGAATGGTACAATAAAAGTATCTCAGCCCTAAGAATGAATACAGCACATCATCCAAATCTTGCAGCACCAATGCTGCAATATCAAACATAATTTTAGGCGACGAAGGGCGCGAAGAGTTCTCCAATGAAGGATGAAGAAGGACCTTCGTTTCTTTCGTTCGGTACTACAAAACTGCTGACCACCATGTCGAGTCAGTGGTTCGATCAGCAAACTGATCGCATTCGAAATTCGACATGAAACATTAACGAAGTCCTAAAAGAATTTCGCCCCAGTCAAAAAAAAAAAAAAAACAAACAAACAAACAAAAACAAGAATATTGTCAATAGACAAAAAAAGAGAAATGAAATAATATATGTCAAAGTAAAAAAAAAGAATGAGTTACTTCACTGGCTTGAAAATATATTGAAGGAACTTGTTCGTTTGCACGTAAAAGAAAGTGCTAATATTATTAAAAAAAAAAAATAAAATAAAAGTCTTTGTGAAAAAATTAATATTGATTATGTCGAAGAAAAAAGATTTTATTACGAAGATTTTGCAAATCTTTTAATATCTTATAAAAAAAAACAGTAAATTTATTTACAAATATAATATTCGACAGAATCAATATTATTATTTCTTGTACAAAGGAAGTCTACGCGTTTCGCGCTAGTCAAAAATCTAGTCCCAATGATAATTTTTTAGTGTTTTATCGTCACACGAGTCTACGTCATTGAGATCGCCTATTTTTATTATAAATAACGTTCGTTATATCGCTCATATCAGAGTAAGAGCATTATATTATATTATATTTAAGTAGACGCGTCTACATGTCCAAGAAAGTTTACAGTAATAATTATAATATTATTGTGACCAGTGAAAGACACACAAAACGTGAAGAAAAAAAAATAATGAAAATTGAATGGATTTTCAAATTTTTAGCCGAATGTGAATAATGCGGTTAAATCACAAAATAAAAGTCTTATGCTATTTATATGAGTGGGCGGTGGGAGATTATACAAATTTTCTTTTTCTTTCTTTATGAATTGAGACAAAAATTTGGAAATTATTTTAAGGTAGTTTATGTGCGAGTATAGTTTCCGCTAAAAGTTAACGCTGATAATCCACAAGATTTTAATAAAATAGTATTTTATTTTTTTTCATAAAAAAATTAAGATTAAAAATTATTAAAATTATTAATTCAATACTTTTTAATTATTATTTTAGTTTTCAAGTAAATAATTTATTTTGTTGTATACTCAATAAATGATTATAGAAATTTTTCGCTTTTGTTAATTAGAAATAAATATTTTGCTCTTTAATTTTAGTTTTCAAGTATTTTACAAATTAAGAAAAACGTCGAAATTTTCAAATATCACGATATTGTAATAAAGTTTAAAATTATTTTGTAAAGCTTAAAAATTTCCCATTAATTTTATTCTTAGCAAACAATTTTTTTAAAATATTTTATTTTTATGTATAAAATTTTTTTATCTCTAGAAAAATATTATTTGCTACTTTCAAATAAGAGAGAAGAATAATAAGAATGTTTTTAAGGAAAAAATTGGAAAAAATAAAAATATTCCATTAATTAAATATTATTTTCATTAAAAAATCATCGTACTAAAGTAATTGTAATTTAAAAAAAATTTTAATTAAAAATTCATAACAATATTGATTTTAAAACGTGTTGTAAATTTAAGTAATTTTATATCTCATTAAAATATTATTTGAAGAATAATAAATAACAAACATCTGAAAAATATAAAATAAATTGATTATACATTTCTGTTGTAAATTACATAAAAGTGTAGAAGAAATCGTTTTTACATAATTTAAAAATTAAAAAAAAATCCGTCATCCTTTTTTGTAAATAACACAAAAAAGTGCAAAACAAATTTAAAAATCAAATAACAAATCTGTTTTACTATGTTGAGTTATATTTGTAAAATAGTCAATAAAAAAATAGCTGCTATTCTTAGCATTAACTTTTGTCAGAGATTAACGCAACTTAAGTACCTTAATTAGTAATTTCACAATTAATAATAATAATTAATGGGGAAGTTAATCTAAAAAAAAATGATATTTTAATGCGTTTCCAATTTTCCTTGTACAGGACTCGAGTAAATCTAAAAATTGAAAGTATTTAATAAAAATTGCAAGCTCTTTCATTAGTTTCTTAACAACGATCTGTGAAAAATGTTTTTGTTAAAATTTAAACATAAAAAAAAGGAGGAGTGAGATTCTCGTATTAGGAGGAACGCTGTACATAAACGAGGGAGATAGACACGTATATTAGTATATAATCAACAGATATTCTAGCGTATGCGATTTTTCAATGTCCTTTTAAAAATGTATGCATCCTACCCTTAAAAATAAACTGTTAGATATTTGTTTCAATATGCTTTGGTTGTTAAAAATTCGACAAAGACGATGTTTTAAGTTCGAAATTTATGCGACGCCAGGGCCGTCGTTCTAATTTTATTTATATATATTATTCTTGACAAATAAAAAAAAATATTTAATGGATTCAATAAACGCAAAAAAGAAACGTAAAATTTAATTTCATCAAAAAATCAAGTTTTTACTTAAAAAAAAAACTTTTTTTGCGTTTAAGGATTCTATTAATTTTTTTTTTAGTGTTATTCATTAAGTTATTAATTATTTAATACTGTGAATCGTCCTTACCCTGGCGTCGTTCTGTCGTGATATTTGGAATCTGTCCAATCGACAATTGTCTATATTGGTGTCACTTTGCGATAACTGTCTACTCATTGTAAGGACTTGAGGTGTAAAAAAAAACTGCAGAGAGCTGCATTGTTTTTTGCGCACATGAAGATAAATCACTTGCAGAAATAGCAAAAATTACACTTGCATAATTTCAACGAGAAATTTTTTTATTCAATTAAAAAAAAAATGTTTAAATTCATTTTTATTTCTCCTAATAATTTAATTGAATTGGTGATAAATAAAAAGAAAAAATCTTTTAAATTAAAAATTTTCTATATAAAAAATATGTAATTTTATTTTTTTTTTTAAAAGAGGTTGAAAATCCCTTATTTGCTAAATCTGCAAATGAATTGTTTCATAGGGTGCTGTTTTATTGGCGACTTTTCAGAAAATCGCTCGTGAAAATGTTCCTAAAAGTTTGTAACATATCACATGCTCGCGTGATTAAATGAGCGACGAACTTGTAACGAACAAAACTGAACATTGGAAAAGTATAAGAAAAAAAAAAAAAAAAAAAAAAAAAAAGGACTATGAATTATACGGGAGCGCCATTTCGGTCGAGCGCAACATAATTTTAAATAAGGGTCACGTATTGTACGTATGTGTTGTAAATAGCCTAAATAAAAATTAACATTTAAAAGTATCCATCTTGTTTTTCAGTTTCGAATCCTTGATATATTTTATTCTCTATTTACACTCGTAGAGTTATTATATTAATATTAAATGTCAAGTACAAAGCGCTATAGAAAAACTAAAGTAATTGTAACATATACCATAACATAAAATATTCAAAAGTAGTTTCGATTTTCTTTTTAGAATTTGTAATTCTTTTTTTGTCTAACAAAAATAAAATAAAAAATGAAGATGAATCTTTTATAAATTTTATTGCTCTTAATTGTTTTTAATCAATATGATTGTGATTAATAAAGAGAAAAAAGATAATAATTGTTGCAAAAACTCTACTTATTTCAGGAAAACTTTTTTCAACATTTTACATATTATGTATTTACATTTTCTCATCATTTTGATGAGTAATATAAACAGTATCTTTTAAGAAAATATTTCTCATTAGGTTACAGATAATTTTCGCGTTTAAAGATACGCAAAAGAAAAATTCCTGAATATTTTTTAATTAAAAAATTAGCTTCTCTTTTTTTTCTATCGATTTTACTTATTACCGACATTTTTTTTCTACCATCATTTTATTATCAAAAGTCGGTATAATCAGTCAGCGAAATTTTCAACCAGTAAACTTGGTCGGTAACTTATTCAAAAATCAAAAAAAAAAAAAAAAAAATTATTGCAAACATTTTTTTTAAATAAATATATTTTTCGTAGAATTCTACGGAAAATAATTATTCGCTCAACTATCAAGATATATTTCTTTACATAATTATTATTATTATTATTATTTACCACAAAATGTTTTAGGATTGAAAAATTGCTCCCATTTTCAAAAGCACAAGAGCCACTCTTAATGAAAAGTTTGTCACTTTTACACATATTAAAATTTTTTCTTAATGCACTATTTTTTTTTTTTATTATATTTATATGTATCAGTCATTGAAACAAAAAAAATTCTTTCCTCACCTCTATTTTGTGTAATTCTTAAAGAATTTCCGTCTTTCGACTGGTTAAACTTTTCTTTATTAATGCCCAATCTTCTAGAATGTCTTCGTCTTTGAGCATATAAACAATGAATGGACCAGTTACGGAAACTGCTCTTCTTCGATCAGTATGATTTCTTCTTCGTCTACCACTTGAAATTTGCCATAAATCCGCGTGAATATCAACATTATTTCTGTCCTCTTCAAGTCGGCGAATTTTTTCTTGAAGATCACTATGAATTGCATCCCAAATAAGTTGTTTTTCACTTTTCAAATTTTGCGAAGCAGCTTGCTCTTCAGCATCATATTTATTTTGAATATTTTGCAATCGAAATTGTTTTAAAATATCAGCAACTTCTTGTTTTATTTTCATATTTTCTCTTAGTCGCTCAAGAGGAATGAGATATTCCTCTGATTTTCCAACCCGTACCTCTCCCAATTTTGTGTCAACCTGAGTGATTCGTTCGCGATAAAGCCTATAAGAATTTTTAAATATTAAAATATTTTTTTTTTTTTGAAGAAAAAATTCCTTTCTTTACAATAAAAATAATAAACATACTTAAACAATAATTTAATTAAACCTTTTTATAATTATTACTTTTGGTTTGAATTATATTTCTAAATTATTTATTTTCAAACTCTAATATTAAAAATTAAATTAAATTTTTAATGCAAAATTTAAATTTTTTTTTTTAAATACAACAACTAAAAGTAAAGGAATACTGACTGCTCTTTGAGAAATGAAAATTGTTTTTCTAGATCGACAAGATTATCTATACATTCATTTCTTCGCCTTTCACATTCGTCTTCATCCATTTCAGAAGAATCATCACTGTCCGTGTGTTCTGCACTACTGTCACAGGATGCTGAACTTTGATTACTGTCATTACTGTCGTGAGAAACTTCCTCGCCTTCTGGTTCAGATTCATCTTTTACACTTGGCATCTGCAAAATGCAAAAAATTTTGAAAAAAAACTGTTTTTTCATTTACAACAGAATAACAATAAAAAGGGCACTAGTAATAGAAATTAATAAGGTTCAACAGAATGTTAGAAAATATAAAATACAATTGAAATGAGTAAAACTATAAAAAAAAAACTATCAATAAACATCATTTAGGGAATTAAAAAATATTTTACTTCAATAAGATATTTTTTACCGATACAATTTTCATAAAATTTATTTTAAAATTAAGAAGGAAAAAAAAGTATGTACATAAATTTATAGAATTTACAATCCAATGCTAACTTAACCTCAAAACAAAAGTAATCTGAGAAAAACTAATATAAATAAAAGCAATGTAAATAAATAAATAAAAATAAGTAATGGTAAATTAATGCTTATTTTTTCATGTAAAACTTAATTTTTTTAATTAACAACACGCACTTTATATCAACGAAGTAATAACTTTATTTAGGTTATGTAACTTTTTTTTTCTTTATTTTAAATTATCAATATTAAATTAGATATTTACTTTATTACTGTAAATATAATAAAAATAGTATAAATAAAACATAAATAATATTTAGATTAAAGATGTAAAATAATAAGAAATTAGAAAGAGCGCGAAATTTCCGAAGAAAACATCTTAAATACTCACAGTGTTAATTATGGGAGTTTCAAGTTTTTTGACACAAAAATGATAAAAAAATAAAGTACAACAAGGCAATAATCTGTAGAAATTTACTTACGATATAAAATTCTTATCTCAATGTTAAGTATTATAAAAAAAAAAATGTTTGTTTTTATCAGAAAAATGACCTGTCAACACTTGTCGGCCATATGCAATTAATTTATGTCGACGCCTGCGCAGTATTACACGTAGCCTTTGCCCAGGCGCAATAATTCTGGTGGGAATTTTTTAAATTTGAATTTCGTACTTATTCAAAACAATAAAATTTAATTAAAATTGTAATAAGTTTTTGTTTGAATTGTTTCTAAAATTATTTACAAATTGAAGGTAATTTATTTTTTAATATTATATACATTAAAAAATGAATTACAAGAGGGTGTGATGAATTAAAAAAAATAATAAATATTTAAGAATAATAAAAATATACAGTATTGTTTTAATATATGTTAAATAAAAGTTATGGAATTTTAAGTTATTTTAATTTAAATAGCATTTATTATGCAAAAGTTATTTAAAAAAAAAAAAAACTTTTTCAAAATTCAAGCAACAAAAAAAAAAAACAAACAAATATTTTTGAATGTCTAAAGTATTATTGCTTATTTAAACAAATTTTTTGTTTTCTTTAAAAACACACACACATATATATATATATAGATGTGCGATGAAAGATTCATAAAATTTTCACTGTTCGAGTAATTTTGAATAAACATTTTTTATGAGAAAAATAAACTGAACGCTTGAAAAGTTTAGAACATTTTACGCGCAGAAATTTCTCCTCTCTTTGTTATTTATTTATACAAACTATTCATAGCTATAGTTTGTTTATTTTATGGTTCAAAAGAAAAAAAAAAGCTTAGGTACATAAAAAAAAGGGAAAAAATTGAATAATTTTTATTTTTTTGTGCATAAAAAAACTTTTTTTTCTGTACATGTTTTATTTTTTATAAAATCAAAAATTTTAACAAATTTTAACAGTTTTGACAATATATGCTCTATAAGATTTTCTATATATTAAAAAAAGAGAAAAATTGAATAAATATTTTATTTATTTTTAGTGATTCTTTACAGACTTTTCTCTTACCTTATTAGTGTTGGAGGTGCTTGACCCAAAAAAAAAATCTCTTCTAGTGCTCCCAGATTCTATTATGAATCAGTACAAGTTGTATTCGGATAAAAAGAATAATTTTTTTCACCAAAAAAATAAAATTCGATTTCTATATAACAAAAAAGTATATTTTTTTTCCAAAAAAAAAGGCAAAGAATATTTTTATTAAAAAATCTATTATATATTCTCAAAAGTGGACAAAATTAATTTTATAAATTATTTAATTTATTTACTATAATATTTATTAAACTAATAAATTATATTTGTAATTAAAAAAGACATTTGAAATACAATTTTTTATACTAAAAGAAATCTATTTTGTATATAAAAAACGTATACATGAGAAAAAACGAAATTAAAAAAAAAAAATTGAATGTCTATCTAAATATAACATATTAGAATGGGATCAATAAATTCAGAGATAAATATATATTTTATATATTTCGTTATATAATATTCCATCAGATACAATAATACATTTGGACCTGTATAGAACAAACAGACAGATAATGCAACATTCGCATAACTGTGCGATATAGTATATATGTATCCTAGCAATATATTAATACTTTTATATATATATAAATTTTTTTTTCTATTTATATATATATATATATAATTTTTTTTTCATTTTTATTCGCATGTTTTTCAGTTACATTTGTTCTTGAAGACTTTCGATTAAATATCTTTTTTTTTTTTTCATCTCGCGAATAGAAGTTTACAAAGTCGCAAAAAATTTCTGCATTTCGTATGAAACTTAGTTTTTTCCTTTTTCTTTTTTTTACTTCTTCTTCTTTTTCTTATATATTTATATAAGAAGCCTTCATTGTTTTATACAAAAAAAAAAAAAAAAACTTTTTTAATTCCCCAATTGCGTGCAAATTTGAACAATTTTTTTTTTCCTTTTTTCTTAAATATTTATTTCCGCAAAATTTCTCATTATTTTCTTATTTTGCGAATTAAGTTTCGTATACGTCTCTAACATTCCGTGCGACGAAAACCTCAACGAGACTTAACATGCAACATTTATCGTATAATACCATCGTGGGTTACATTCAAAATATTATATATAAATTTTTTTTTTATATATATATATTTCAATTCTTAAAATTCAATTTAGTTTTCGTGATATCATTTTTATTTTATGTCATACGTGAATTAATATTTATTAACAATATATTGTATAAAATTCTAAATTATTAACAAAAATTAACAATAACAGTATATAATAAATATAATAGATAAATAATAAGATAGGTAATAAAATTCAAAAAAAAAAACAGTAAAGAAACAACAATAGACAATAAAAATTATTATAATAAAAAAAAAAATATAACAAAATTTTAAAATAAAGAAAAACTAATTAATATATTTATAATATTTTTGAAATAATTCTGTATAATAGAAAATAATTTGAAAATTTTTTTAAAAATTCTATTTTCCAAAAATTTTCATTGTTCTAATAAATAAAGAAAAATATTTTGAAACCCGCGATCGTATTCTTAAGGTTTGTATACAGTATTGGTTAACGATCAACGTTAAATTTGTTTCGCTATAAGAGAGAAAGAGAGAGAAAGAGATAGAGGTGCATTTAGGAACGATAATTTTTCTCGTGACAATATACCTATGCACATTTTGTTTATTTTTACGAGGAAACACACCTGTTTCTTAATTTTTTTTTTTTTATTCTTTTCCTCTCTTGTGAACACAGAATTTTTCTCCGAGGTGAGTTTTCATATATATATATATATGCTCTGTATACCCATTCGCTTACCGGTTTATGAGATCCAAATAACGATTTTTCAGGAAAAAAAAGTACATCGATTTGACCCTCTTACTTTAGTATGCGCATGACAGAGTAGCATTTCAGGAGACAGGTCAGAATATCAAATGCAATGTTTTAAATATCTCTTAATCCAGACTTTTCTCCTTTAATTTACGAGTCACGATGAGTCCATGAAAGTTTGTGTAATGAAAAAGAAAAATAAATTCGCAAAGAAGGAATTTATTTCCGATATAGAGAAAACAAGCTTTCCAAAAATGAATTAAATAAATATACATTTTTTATTCATTATTAAATAAATTTTAATTAAAAAAAAAAAAAAAAAAAAAAGAAAAGTTCATTTTATTTTTTATTTTATTTAGCATTTATTTATAAATTTAATTTCTATATATATGATATTTAAAAATTTTTATTTGGAAAAAAAGTTTTCTTTTTATTTTTAATAAATGTGATAATAAATGTATTAATAAAATAATAACATATATTCAATTTTTAATTTTCACATTTGTTGCATTATTTAAAAATTTAAATAAAATTCGAATATTGAAAAATGCATTTAAAAAAAAATTATTTTTCAACTCACGGAAGTGTTTATTTTACTTTTTTCAAGTAAAAGGGGACATTTATTTAGAAAATAGAGAAATTCCCTAATGTCAAATTTATACTTATAATAAGAGTGTTTAAGACGGATTTAATATTTCAACAAAGAAACTTAGTCAAGTAGCTAAAAGCTTTTTCTGGAATACCAAATTTACTCAGCTACCAACAGAAGTGTGTATAATATTTACTTTCACTTGCAAACCAGTTTCAACATGATAAATAATTTAAATACATCAAGGAAAATCTTTTAATTAAAGGTAACTTTTCCTTCTCAAGATTTTTAATCACATATTGAATAATAAATGAACAAATTTTACTTGTCAAATTTTTAAATAAAAAAAAAAAAGCTATCACTATCACTAAATTATAACCATATAGTAGAAATTAGTTATAGCAAAAATTAATAATTTCAAGAAAATTATGAATAAATAATAGAAAAAAAAAGTAGTAAATATTATATAAAAAAAAAAATAGAAAAAAATTCTCACGATAAAAAAAAGATTATAGAAAGAAATTTAATTAGAAAAGTCTGGAAAATTTTCTTAACCCAACCGGAGAGAACAAATGATTGTGGATTTTAATTGAAAGGATCTGAAGCAGTTTCAACTCACAATGACTCTTGGCGATAAGCTTGTTAAAAATGATGGTGAGATAAATGCAACTGCAGGCTTGTCAAAGTATGACAATGGAAAATTGAAAATTTTATACAACGCGTGATTGTCAAAAAAAAAAAATAAAAAAATAAAAATATTTTTTTACGAATATTATTCTCATCTCTTTTTTTCTGAAAATTTATTTTTCAAATAAATAAACATTATAATAATAAATATTTCGGGGCTTTTAATTATTTGCAAGAAAATAAAGTTTACTTGCAATAAAATTTTGAGAAAAATGAAAAAATTGAGCTTTCATCTTTGGATAGGCTGATGACTTGTAATATATATTTAATATGTATAATAATAATTATACTGTGGACGTTTCGATATACACACACACTTATTTGCAAAAATTTATTATTAAGGCATTTTATAAATGTCTTAATTATTTGAGAAAGTTTATTATAAGCGCCCATCGCACGCGCGGGAGCTTTCGACGATATCGATATGTGTATACATATAACTATATGTTATCAGTCTTACAGACGTTATTTTTGTAAGCGAATGGGTTACTTATATATTTACAAAATTTTTGCGATCACTATATTATAAATATTTATCATATAGACACATTATAATCATATAAACTATATACTATTTTTATTTTATTTTTCCAAATTTTGGGAAACAATTTTATTGCATCCCAAAAACATACATTTATATTTAATATATATATATATATACTTTTAAGGGTTTACCAATGTTTCTTTTTATATATTTAAATTCCAATTTAAACCAATAATAATATATTTTTAATAATAATAATTTAAAAAAAAATTTATTTAATTTTTAATTATAATTAATTTTGTAAATAAACTAGTTGATTTTTTTTTTAATTATAAATAAAAAGAAATTTTCAATTATGAGAAATTATTTTTTATCATGAGAGGGAAATCTATACATTTAAAAATGAATATTTCATATTACACGTAGTATGTATTTTAGAATAAATATTTTCTACTGAATATATAACTTATGTACAGTAAATGTTTATATACTGAAATAAATTTTGATTTTCTAATAAAGATAATAATATACCTAGTTTTTTTGTTTTTTTTTTTTTTATACATTTTTTTTACACTGAGGGAAATTTATTTGTTTGACACATATATATTTAAATGAATTTTAAAAGATATAAAAATTTAAATAATTTTCTTTCTTGTATAAAAATATTTTAAAGAAAAAAGTATTGTTTTTTTTAATAAAACAAAAAAAAGAAAAATATTTTCAGAAAATTTTTTTTACAAAAATTAATTATTTGAATAGAAAAATTTTCTGAATTCAAAAGTCAGTACGTATAACAAAAAGATGATTTGAAAATTGAGAAATTTTTTTGCATATTAAAAAAAAAGAATTCTTCGGAAGAAAAATATTTTTTAAAGCAAATCAAACGAATATTTTCGATTAAAAAAATATTCTTCACGAATATAAAGTATCAGGATATTAGAGATAAATTATTATCTCTTTTGCAGATTCTTTTTTCTGACAAGATTTTTGATTTGTAAAAACAATTTCTAGATTTTATACCCTTGAGTAATTTTTTTCTTTTTTTTTTTTTTTTGGCTAATTTCCAGCAGCCATTTGAGGAAAATTGTCGCGAAAATAGCGCGTCTAGTACTTCACCTCGGAGAGAAGAAAAAAGAGAGATATAAAAAGAGAAAGAGAGATAGAGATAGAGGGGAAGAAATAATAGAAATTGGGAGAGTGAATAAAGATTCTGGGAGAGGAAGAAGGTATTTCTGGACCTATATCTTAAGTACCACCAGGGAAATTGACATAGTGACGCGGGTCCATTTTTTTTTTTTTTATTTTATATGCTTATTATATATAAATATTGGACCTTAAAGGCCCATTGAGACACATCCACACATTCTTTTTTACAGCTATTCTAAACATTTCAATTTCTCAAATAAAAAGAAATAGAAGGTTCAAATTGACCTCATTATCAATTTTCATAAAAGTGTTATTATTTCAATTACAATATAATGAAATTACAATCAAATTATAATCACACCATTATGAATATGTTTTTTTTTTTAATATTAAAATTATGTACACGCGCGACAATAAGCATATATATATATATATATATATATTTGATTCTCTTTTGATAATTCTGAGAAATTGCAATATTTAGATTTTTTTCTTTTGCTGTCGATGTGAATTATCGAGCATATTTTTTTCAATTGCCCCTTTTTTTGAAAAGTTTAGAAAATTTTTTATTTCTTTTTTTTTCTATATGACATTTTTCACATATTGACGTTACGTCAATTTCTTTTCAATGTATTTTTTTTTTCATTTTTTTATTTCAAATTGTGAAATTACATAAAGATGATCGATATTATTGCGAATATTATATTGTGTATATGAATTTGCGGAAGAGAGAAATGAAATTTGAAAATGTAATTTTTCAAAAATTGGTCTTAGAGAAAAAAGGAGGTTTTTTACTTTAATTTATGCGCATCAACAAAAAAGGAATTGTAAAAATTAAAAAATTGTACAGAAATTTTAAAAATACAATTAAAAAAAAAAAATGGAGAAAAAAAGTAACGACTAAAAATGGTAATAGAAAAAAAAATGATAGAAATTTAATTGATAAATGAAAATGTGAAAGAAAAAGAGGAGAAAGTCTAAAGGGTTCATTCAAGAACAAGTGTGTTGATCTTGTCCCTAGATATGTCCCCATGATACTTTAGTCGAATTGGAACATCGGCTTTTATCAGAGATCCGACGCTATTTCTGATGACGAGGTAGTTTCGTATGACTCGAAGCTTTTCAAGAGAATTCGCCATTGAAAATTACAAATGCGGTCTCAGGAAAATTTTCTTGAAAAAAAAAAGTAACTATTTTAAAATTCAATATAGAAAACCATCTTTTCCAAATTAATCATGTATAATTCTTACATAAAAAAAAAAAAAAATTTTTTTTTTCTCTTGTACTCCAAAAGTTGATTGCATTACAAATTAAAAAATGATTCTCTCTTTCTTCAAGTTGCCTCCGCGCACAGTAATTCGTATCTATTTAAGTAACACAGAATTGCTTCCTTAATGTCTTTTCTTAATTAAAATTCACCGTCTTTCTTACTACTTCATTATTGAATTAGTCCTCTTTTGTTTCTCTATTAAGTGTCTCAAAATTAATATCTGCAAATTTTTCCAAATTTCGCAAAATGTAAAAAAATTTAGTTTATATAATGGTATCAAAAAATTATAAATAAATAATTAATAGGAGGTAAAATTATAAATTAAATTACATATAATTTTTTTTTTTTTTTTGTGTGCGTTTAATTGTGTGTATGACATTTTTGTTTTCTGTGTGCTTTTTAAATCACTGCTATTGCATATTATATCGAAATTTTTTCATAAAAAATAATCGAATACACTGATTTTTTTTTTTATAAAATTGTATATTAAGTATATATTATATATATATATATATATATATAGTTTAAGAAATCGTCTCAATCCGATGAGACAATATTCCTTGGCCACTCTCAATCGAACGAATTATATTAACACTTAGCGAAACTTTCATCGAGTCCTGGGGATTATTTAAATTGTTCGATTGACGCCACCCTCAATTAAAAAGGGTATATTCATGAGAAATTGAGTTTTCGTGTTTATGATCGTCAAAATTGAGTTTTAGGGAAAAAAAAATTTTTTACAACCTTCATATTAAATTTTCACCTGTAAAATCAATAAAAAAAAATTGTGTATAAACATTTGATTCAAATAATCGATTCTTTGACTATAAATATTTATTTCCATTAAAAGAAATTTTTATTTAAAAAAAAAAAAAGAAAAATAGTAACTGAAAAAGAATGATTTTCAAGATAATATTTTATTATTTGTTAATTTTTTGTATTTTAAGTTAAACATTAAAAATTGTATTAAAAAAGGTAGTTTAATAAATAAAATATAGAATTATATTAAATGTATGTTAACTGTAAAAAAATATTTTTGTTTAAACAAATAGAAGAAAAATATTTTCATTTGAATTTAAAAAAAAAGAAAAATATTTCCGTAAAATTAAAGGGAGAAGTTTTTATGATTCTCGTATATAATAATCATAAGCCTCGTTTCTCAATGATATCCCAGGACGTCAATATACATATTTGTGAGAAATACGGTGATACATACAAAAAAAAATAACTGACATATATAGACGACAAATTTGTCTACATATCCATCAATAAAGATGCGCATATAAGTTGTCGTCAAAAGGAATCACCTAAAATTGATTTTTACGATTTTTAGGCGTGTTACTCACGTGAAACATACATATATTTATATATATGTATAAATTGAATTCGTCACTGATTTTGATAAATTTACGAATTCATTTTTCGTCCATTTTTCGTCGCCACCTTGTGTACTCCATTTTCTCGATGGAACGTGGCTGAAGTATTGGAAAAGTTTGTCCTCGTTTGGAACAAAACTGGGTGATTTTTCGTGAAATCAATGTTCCTATAAGCTCGTTCTTTCTCTTCATTTTTCTTGATTCTTGATTTCTTGGAAAAATTTTCATTTTAAAATGATTTTTTGTCATTTCCATCTTGTTATTTTTATGTTTAGTATTTTTTTTTTTTGTTTTTTTGAAAAATGTTTTTTTTTTTTTCAATAAAATTATTTACATATATATTTTTCGTTTATATTCATAGTGAATATATTTTTTTTCCTCGAATCAAAAGATCGAGTTTTCTTTTCTTTTTTTTTTTTTAATTAACGATGTTAATAAAAGTTGTTTATAACAAAATATTTCCCATGGATTATAACGCTGCGTTATCGTAACCGTCGATCAGTGTCTGTATGATGAATTTGATGGTTAACTTGTATATGTTCTCGACATTTTCCGTGTATCGATCGTCTAAGGTCCTTTTTACTGCCTCCAGAAACGGCGATTCGATATTCTGTAATAAAAAAAAAAAGAAAGAAAGAAAAAAAAGTTCCATATCAATATCTCCGTTGGGAAAAACTTTGTCATATTTTTTTTTTTTTATATTTTCTCGAATACAAATAAAAATAAACTTTTTTGTTAACTATATTTATACAGGAATAATAAATATATGAATTCAAAATTGCTTTAATTATATAATATTATTAAAAATAAAAATCAATAAATTTATAATTTTTTTAATTAAATGATTATTATTAGATGACTTTTTAAATACATAATAAAATTAGTACAAAATTAATAATTTAATAGCAACTGAAATTAGAATTTGTAATTAAAATAGAAGTAAAATAATATGACCTTTAAATGCAGATTTTTTGTAATTAGCATTTTATTTTTACAAAATTTAAAAATTGACATTAAATTTAAGTGAAAAAATTGCACCATCTCATTTCCTGGGTGGTTAACTCTAACTTACTTTTCTGCTCTAAATTTTAGTTCTCTTTACCTTTATACATTGTAAATTATAAAGTAGAAATGGAAAATGTTGCAATTCTCATTCTCTAACGTCAAGATACAGAGTTGAATACCTTTTTTTTTTTTAAATCAAATGCAAATCAAATTAACTTGAAGTAGGCAGTAAATTTTTCCATTATTTATATTTTAATATAAAGTATAATTAATATTTATAAGGTTAAAAAATGAAAAATAAAATAAAAACGTTAACGATTCATTATATAATTGTTTGATATTATTTTTAATATAACTCAATATAATGAGAGTATTTTTTTGTAAGTATAATAAAATAAATAAAAAATATATATATATGAGGCAAAATTCCTGAAATGTCCGAACAAAAAATTAAAAGTTCTCGAATTTAATCCATACTTTTCTAAAATGTTGTTATTGTTGGTGAAAGTCTAAAAATCAATTATTATTGAATTTAATAAAATAGTTTTTGAATTACGTTTTTAATTTTTGACTTTTGAAAAAAAAAATTTTTTTCAATGTACAATATTTATAAGTAGAATGCATAAAAGTTAACATATATATAATGATTTTTGAAGCTTTTTTGACGAGCTACACGCTGTTAATAAAATTTTTTTTTTTTAAATAACATTTGACCTTGAAATTCAAGGTCAAAATGTTAATTTACGTTTATCTCAAAATCGGATTTTTTAAAATTATTTTTAACTATCTCAATGGAAAGCTTGACTAATTTCCTACAAAACATGTAATTTTCAGAGTGGGATCTTTTAAAGTTTTTGAGATATTAATTAATTAATTAATTAATGTTTATAACAAATGAAATATTTTACAAACGAATAAAGTTACCGTAATTCTGAAGTTAGTAATTGAAAGTTAACGTAATTCCGCATCCAACGAGCCCTATATGAAGTATTTTGGATAAGTAGATTGTTAATAAACAATTAGTTAACATTGCAATTGTTTATTAACAATCTACTTATTCAAAATACTTCATATAGGGCTCGTTGGATGCGGAATTACCTTAACTTTCAATTGGTTAGTTTAGATTTACATTAACTTTATTTGTTTGTAAGATATTTCATTTTTTACTAACAACAAGCATCCAAAAGCCCTACATGAAGTATTTTTGTTCAATTTTAGTTAAATAACAATAAAAAATGAAATATCTTACAAACAAATAAAGTTAATGTAAATCTAAACTAACCAATTGAAAGTTAAGGTAATTCCGCATCCAACGAGCCCTATATGAAGTATTTTGAATAAGTAGATTGTTAATAAACAATTGCAATGTTAACTAATTGTTTATTAACAATCTACTTATCAAAAATACTTCATATAGGGCTCGTTGGATGCGGAATTACGTTAACTTTCAATTACTAACTTCAGAATTACGGTAACTTTATTCGTTTGTAAAATATTTCATTTGTTATAAACATTAATTAATTAATTAATTAATATCTCAAAAACTTTAAAAGATCCCACTCTGAAAATTACATGTTTTGTAGGAAATTAGTCAAGCTTTCCATTGAGATAGTTAAAAATAATTTTAAAAAATCCGATTTTGAGATAAACGTAAATTAACATTTTGACCTTGAATTTCAAGGTCAAATGTTATTTAAAAAAAAAAAATTTTATTAACAGCGTGTAGCTCGTCAAAAAAGCTTCAAAAATCATTATATATATGTTAACTTTTATGCATTCTACTTATAAATATTGTACATTGAAAAAAATTTTTTTTTTCAAAAGTCAAAAATTAAAAACATTGTAATTCAAAAACTATTTTATTAAATTCAATAATAATTGATTTTTAGACTTTCACCAACAATAACAACATTTTAGAAAAGTATGGATTAAATTCGAGAACTTTTAATTTTTTGTTCGGACATTTCAGGAATTTTGCCTCATATATATATTTTCTCTCTTTGAAATAAAAGAAAAATTAAAAAATTTATTAAAAAAAAAAACATAAAATTTAAACCAAGGAAAATAAAAAAGAATTAATATCATGAATATTTTGGAGAGAATAAAAAAAAAAGAAATTTTAAATTGAAATGCCAAAGAGAAAACAAATGACAAAATGGACGAATGGAATATTGGTCAAACAGAAATTCGGAAGGAAACCGCAATGCAATTTACCGTAGTTAAATGTAACCCACAGAATGCTCGTAAAACTATAATGAAAGGGCGGTAGCACAATTAAAATCAGTGTTCCCTCCACAACAATTATTTTTGGTTTATGTGCAAGCAAATGTCTACATTTTCACCGAGAGGCTTTAATTTTCATTTATATTAGATCGTTTCTTTCCGATTAAATTCATCACTATAATTTCTTTTCTATTCTTTTTTAATAAAAAAAAAAAAAAATTTTTTTTAATAAAAATTTACTTTTTTTTTGTAATTTTTTAAAAATATTTTTTGAAATATAAATAAAAATAATTTTTTAGATAATTTGAAATTTTTATTTTCCAAAAATTATTAAAATTACTTTTCACAAGGCGAACGAATATCTTCTTTTTTTTTTCTCTCACAAGAAATTATATTTAGACTTTAGATCATGTAACCGCATAGTCGCGAGAGTTATATTTACGCAGCTTCATTTTATTTTCAAAAAGAAGAAGAAAATTGTCGAGAGAAAAAAAAGAAGAGAAAATAATATCGTGTAAAATTATTGGAAACTGCGTTGGCAAAATATAATGATATATATATACAAAAACTGTTATCTGATTATCTTTTATAGAATTTTTTTTTTTTGTATTATTGAGAAATATTCAACCACTTTTTTTTACCAAGTTTTTTTTTTAATTTTTAATCAAAATTTGTATTTATAAATAAATAAAAAATTATACAATAATTATAAATATATGGAATATTAACATAAATTAAATAAATATAATAGAAAAAATTAAATTGAATTTAAGAGATTAATGATTGTAGGTTTTTTTCAAGAAATAAAAATTGAAAAAAATATATTTATTTATTTGTAAATATGTATTATTAATTATGATAATTTTATTAATTTAATAATACGTATATAGTAGAAATAAAATATTTTTCTGAATGTTTATTTCTTAATAAAATGTTAATTTTAATAATTTTTAATTATTAAAATACTAATAAGAAAACTTACCCAAAAATATTGACGTTTAAAGTCTGGGATTCTTCTATGTGATGCGCCGACTTGATGTAGATAGGAAAGAAAAACATCCATATCATCCAAACCTTTAATACCCTCATCTAATGTCGTCATTACTTTCACAGCATGATCCGCAAGCTCAGTACTCGTTGCTTGTTCGTCTTTTGTTTTTAGATGTTTAAAATTTTTAAACATATCCAATAATTCTGCATTATTTTCGAATAATCTGAAACAAGTGAAAAAATTCACGTATGGTCAGACATAATATATATGTATATATATATATATATATATTTGATCAGAAATATACGTCTTTCATCAATATACAAAGAATTATTTATTCATTTATATACATAAACAATCAAAATAAATATCAGGAGTGAAATTTATTTTTTAAAATTAATATTCTTTTATTTAATAAAAAAAAAATTCTGTTATTCAGAAAATGAAAACAAATATGAAATTAAAAAAAAGTTTTTCAACAAATTCACAACTTAATGATCACGTTATTAAATTTACAAAAAAAAAAAAAAAAATTAATTTAAGAGTAAAACAAAAAAGAAACATCTCTCAATTATTTGAACACTTAAAGGAAATGTGTCAAAAAATAATTTAGCACAATTGAAGTTTTACAATTATTTTTTGACATGTTCTTAAGTGATCGAATAATTGAGAGACTAATTAAACAAGGGACGTATTTCCAAGATTAAATAAAAAAGAAATAAAATATTAAAAATATTATAGAAAGAAATTTAAAAAAAATATATTTAAAATGTAGATTAAATATTTACAAATATAAAAGAAAAAAAAAAAAAGTCAAATCAAATATGTATATGTGCCATTCCAGGAGTTTTTTAGCACTTTTCGGAGTAACCTTTCCAAATTAAATGAAACATTTTTTTAATAATATTTATTAATATAAAGGTCCAAAAAAATCACTTTTTAAGTAAAAATAATTGTTTATTTAAAAAATACAACAATAAATAATGCAAAAAATTCACTTTTTTCCTGCAACTCCAAATAAATTGGTTTAAAGATCAAAATTTTCCTTATTTTTCAAGCTTTAATACCGCACAAGAAACATTGAGTCCGAGAAAATATTCAACACACAATTTTTTAAACAATGTTTGTTTACTTTTTTGTATTTTATTTACTGTGAAACGTCTGCTAAAGCTGCGCGCGACGTTTGGAAGTTGTCGCTTTCCTTATTGAGCAGAAGCTCATTACACTAGCGTAGTAAAAAACATGTTGTGTGGAAAGTGAGGTTTTTCATCCTTCAAAAATGTTTTTTATGATTTTTTACTGCAAAGTAGATAATTAAAAACCATTCAATGTGATAACCAGAAATTTTTACGTTTCATTTAATGACAACATAACCTCACTTTTCGCACAACATGCTTTCTACTACGCTAGTGTAATGAGCTTCTGCTCAATAAGGAAAGCGACAACTTCCAAACGTCGCGCGCAGCTTTAGCAGACGTTTCACAGTAAATAAAATACAAAAAAGTAAACAAACATTGTTTAAAAAATTGTGAGTTGAATATTTTCTCGGACTCTATGTCTCTTGTGCGGTATTAAAGCTTGAAAGATAAGGAAAATTTTGATCTTTAAACCAATTTATTTGGAGTTGCAGGAAAAAAGTGAATTTTTTGCATTATTTATTGTTGTATTTTTTAAATAAACAATTGTTTTTACTTAAAAAGTGATTTTCTTGGACCTTTATATTAATAAATATTATTAAAAAAATGTTTCATTTAATTTGGAAAGGTTACTCCGAAAAGTGCTAAAAAACTCCTGGAATGGCACATATTTAAAAGATAAACAAAATATATTTTTCAAACAAAACGAAATAATATATTGGAAAATAAAATGTTCTCTTAAAAAATATATATAAACGAACTAATATTTAAAAAAAACTAAATAGTCGAAAAATAGGAGGAAATATATTGTAAAATGAATTGAATTTAAAAATTAAAATATTTTTTTAATAAAGTAATCGAAAAAACACGTTTTGTATATATTCCTTCATCGATAATTTATTCCATTGAACAAAGTAAATCACGCAACTTGTTGAAATAAAAATCGTGTTTGGCATCGTATGGGGGGGAGAGAGAGAGAGAGAGAGAGAGAGAGAGAAAAAAACACGCCTCCTCTCTACCCCTCACCCCAGGTAAAATATATTATTAGACTTTTTTCTGGGAAAAGTAAAAAAAAAAGTGATGTTTTATTTAAAAACAAAGCACCGACATTGTCGACTGCACGTGAAGTGTAAAAAAAGCAATTCACGGACTAGGAGTTCATTGAAGCGTTGTGTTGTCGAGCGTGCATTGGAGGTGGGGAAAAAATCAGAGCGCGAAATATGTTGTGCACTAGAATGACCCGCCGGAGTCTAGTTTGTGAGAATGCAAAAATTATTTCACAAAAAAAAAACACCCCCAAAAAAATATATATATTTATGTTATTTCCTATATACATTAAATAATTCACTGGCAAAAGACGATTTTTGTTCGGTAATAAAAAAAAATTACTTAACAAATAAATTAATTGCTTAATTTAATTATAAATTAATTAATTAATTTATTTATTTATACCCGTGTGGAAAAGTCAACTGGGCCCCAATCTGGGCCAGACTGGGTTTCCCAATGTCCAAAGTGGGCAACCCAGACTGATCCCAAAGATTTCTCAAGGTTGGAAAATACCAGCTGGGGCCAGATTGAGTTATTCCAGTTTTATTTATAATTGTTAATTAATAATTATATAAATACCCAGGTAGAAAAATTAACATTACTAACGTTACTAATGTTACTAACGTTAGTACCAATAGAAAAATTAAGAAAATGTTTCTAAATTGTATTTTTGCAGAAACTTGTCGAAAATCGACCACCAGGAAGTATTTAATGTTCTTACCCGCACTTTTTATAAGTTTCATTCCTATTATCACTTCCACTTTTTTATTTTCATTACCGTTTCCACTTTCACTTTTTCTAATTCTCATTCCCATTTTCACTTCCACTTTTTATAATTTTCATGCCCATTTTCATTTTCACTTTTTTATTTACATTACCACTTTCACTTTTTTTAATTCTCATTCGCACTTCCATTCCCACTTCCACTCTTTCTAATCCTCATTTCCACTTTCACTTTTTCTAATTTTCATTCCCATTTTCACTTTTTTATTTTCATTACCACTTCCACTTCCACTTTTTCTAATTTTTATTCCCACTTCCCTTTTTCTAATTTTCATTCCCACTTCTACTCCCATTTTTTCCACTTCTAATTTTCATTAACTGTTGCCATTTCGACTAAAACTCTTTCTAATTTCTATTTACACAACCATTTCCACTTTTTTTAATTACCATGGATGGAAATTAGAAAAAGTGAAAGTGATAATGGAAATTTAAAAAATTAGGAATGGAAGTGAGAGTGAAAATATAAAAAAGTTGTAATGAAAATAAAAAAGTGAAAGATAAAATGGGAATGAAAATTGAAACAAGTGGAAATAGGAATGAGAATGAAAATTAGAAAAAGTGGTAGTGGCAATGAATATAAAAAACTGGAAGTGGAAATAGGAATGAAAATTAGACAAAGTGGAAGTGAAGTGGGAATGAGAATTAGAAAGAGTAGAAGTGAGAATGGAAATGCGAATGAGTATTAGAAAAAGTTTAAGTGGAAGTGAAAGTGGTAATGGGAAAGTAGTGGCAAAGTTTCTGTGAAAATATATTTTAGAAACTCTTAATTTTTTTATAGGTACTAACGTTAGTAACATTAGTAACATTAGTAACGTTAGTAACGTTAATTTTTTCACCTGGGTAATTTAACAACAAAAGAGTACATTAAATGAATGAATATTATTTCCTTTTAAATAAATCTTCCTTTTTTTAAATTAAATTGTATTAAAGATGACAACTAATAAACAATGTATATAGTAAAAAAAGTAAAAAAAATATTTATATAATTTAAAAATTAAATAATAGTGTATGTATTAGATTTTCAAGTTTTTGTACAACTTATAAATTAAAATCTAGAAATAACGCAAACCTATGAAATAAACAAAACTGCGCACGAGGGGAATCGAACCTACGACCTACGGACTTATAGATTAACGCTGTAACCACTATGCTAACGACGCGTACCTGCAGACAAGTTTTAATTTCTCAGTATCAAAGATGTAGAAAATATGATTAGGTTAGACAATAAATTAAAATATAATCACTTACTTAATTTCATTTATTTTAATTTAACATTTTTACCAGTAATAATTTGGATTAATAAGTACAAAAGTATAGTTGAAGTCAAAATTTTGTTCAATTATTATTAATAAATTGAATAAAAATAGGAAATAAATGATTGAAAATGGGGTCAGAGTGGGAAAGCCCAAACTCAAAAAACGACTAAGTTAATTAATAATAATTAATTAGCTTAGTTCAATAAATTTATTAAAAACTAAGAACTTGACATACATTTTATTTATTCAGGGAAGGTATTATTTAAGCATTAATATAATTAACTAAAGTTTTCAATTTCCATATTTTTCCTCAAATGTAATTTTTGCCCATATTGGCTTTTGGAAAAATTTTCAAACGGCATATAAATTAAATATAAATATAATTATCTAGTTTTATTATTTCTCATTTTTTCTCAAGTTTTTTTTATTTATTTATAACAGAATATTAAATTAAATTTCAGTTTGGGAATAATTTGGGAAATCCCAGTTGGGGCCAGGTTATGGGTTGACCCAAACTTTGCCCGAGTACAATGAAAAACAAAAATTTTTTTCAGCTTTTCACAGTTGCGCTTTTTTGTATAGGTATTTATTCAGCATATTATTTAAATAATAATTTAATTAACTTAATTCTTTTATTTCTTCATTTTTCAAACTTTGGGAAGCCAAGTTGGGCCCAAATTGGCGCCCAGTCTTACTTTGGGCGACTTTGGGAAGATTTCCACACGGGTATCTTTTTTTGTTATTGAAAGTATATAATTATTTTAAACTTCATTGTGAGAGTGAAAAAAGGGTCCTTTATTAAAAAAAAGTCAAAAATATTTTTGATTTTCAAATGAAGGGGTAAATTTTGAATTTAAAAAAAAAAATTTTGCACCATTCGAAAAAGCACAAAAAAACCTTTCGAAATCATATAAATCAAAATTTTTTTCATCCTTTTATACAATAGTTATGATTTTTCAAAAAATCCACTGTTCATATTTCACCAAAATTTTAATCCTTCC